AAATTTGTCTCAAGTTGCTAAGGATTTCAATTAAAATAGAAGATACAAAATAAGATAAAAGATAAAATTAAAAATATATACTATATATCAAGATCTATAAAGTGTTGAATATATTATGTAAATATTAAAAATAATAAAAAATGCTTAAACATATTTTAACTGTTTAGTATTTGAAGTTAAGAAGTATGTATGCCAACTTAATACTAAGGTTCCAGTGCTACAGTGTACAATTGGCATGTTATGTCGTTTGTAGGTCTTTGCTGTAGAAGCTTTCTGATTAGCAAGCCCAGAGACAAGTTTCTGTGTTGTACGGGTTGTTACTGTGTGGTATATTAGGTCTGCAGATTTCACGATATGTATCGTTAGATGATCATATAATATGGCGTATGCGTTTTGTCTGGGAGTATATATATTCGGTGTGTTCTACATTGTGTATTGGTTCGATGTAGACTGAATAGTCTACATTGATGTGTGCATATATCTTATCTATGACATTATAATAGTCATTTCCTTATTTATTGATAATTTCTTCCTGAAAATTGGGAGTACGATGAGACAGTACATCGGCTATTCATAGACTTCAAGAAAGCCTACGATTCAGTTAGGGGGGAAGTATTGTTCAATATTCTGATAGAGTTTGGGATACCCATGATACTAGTTAGGTTGATTAAAATGTGTTTAAACGAAACGTATAGTAAAGTCTGCATAGGTAAACATTTGTCTGATGAATTTCCTATCCAGAATGCTCTAAAACAAGGAGATGCTTTATCGGCACTCCTTTTCAACTTTGCCTTAGAATATGCAATTAAGAAGGTTCAGGGAAACCAGGTGGGACTGAAACTAAACGGGACACATCAGCTGTTGGTGTACGCCGATGATGTGAATCTACTGGGTGATAATGTAGATACCATAAAGAAAAACACACGAACTTTAATTGACGCAAGTAAAGAGGTTGGTCTAGAAGTAAACAGAGAAAACTAAGTATATGTTACTGTCTCGTCACCAAAATGCAGGGCAAAATCATGACATAAAGATAGGAAACAGATGTTTTGAAAATGTGGCACAGTTCAGATATTTGGGAGCAACGATAACAGATCCAAACCTGATTCAGGAGGAAATAAAGAGGCGATTGAACTCGGGTAATGCTTGCTACCATTCAGTCCAGAATCTTTTGTCTTATCGTCTGTTGTCCAAAAACATAAAAATTAGAATATACAAAACTATAATTATGCCTGTGGTTCTGTATGGGTGTGAAACTTTGTCTCTGACATTAAGGGAGGTACATAGACTGAGGGTGTTTGAGAACAGGGTGTTAAGGAGAATATTTGGACCAAAGACTGATGAAGTGACAGGAGGTTGGAGAAAACTGCATAATGAGGAGCTTCATAACTTGTACACTTCTCCAAGTATAATTAGAATGATCAAGTGAAGGAGGATGAGGTGGGCAGGTCATGTAGCACGAATGGGGGAGACAAGGAATGCGTATAGGATATTGGTGGGAAAGCCAGAAGGAAAGAGACCACAGGGAAGACCAAGGTGTAGGTGGGTGGACAATATTAGAATTCATCTTAGAGAGATAGGATGGGATGGTATGGATTGGATAGATACGGCTCAGGATAGGGACCAGTGGAGGGCTCTTGTGAACACGGTGATGAACCTTCGGGTTCCATAAAATGCTGGTAAATTCTTGAGTAGCTCCAGAATTGGCGGCTCCTCAAGAAGGGCTCAGCTTCATGAGTAAATAAGTAAGTAAGTCCTTCTGAAGATGGTTGCTTCGACTGAAACATATAAAGGATGAAAGATTTAAAAAAGACAATATTTATCAATTACACTGGACGGCGTTATAATCTGTTATACTGTTGCTAGCGTGACCGACCAGGATGAACCAAGTCAAATTGCTGTTAGCTGTGTCGAAGCTCTGTCACCAGCATGTAAGATTTGAGGTTTTCACAGCCGTGAAGATTAATATTGCGGTTTACTGTGCTGTGACACTGTGAAATCTGGAAGGCAGATACCAACGTTTCGGAGAAACATACTGGATCCATCTGACGACCCCAGTATTGAGTTCACTGGCAATTTTACCGCCCATGTCGTCCTGCCGCCATTGCAAGTGCAGTAACACCAATATTGCATTGCTGACGTCATAAGATGCCTCTCTACCCGAGTCTACCAAAGTAAAGACCTGGTTTAAAGTTCTTTATGAATTCTTAGAGCAATATGAACCTATGTGGTGATGAATGTCTGGCTGTTCACCTCATGGTGCTCACACCAGCCCATTTAATGGATTCTGATCACACTAAAATCTGCCTGATGAGTTTCATTTTGGTACATTTAAGTATGTTATTTGAAATTATTGAGGAGCTTAGCGAGCTGCACAAGGAAAGACCAAATGAGAGAGAAACAATAAAATTACGGAAGAGCCGACCATTTTCAGTCTAAATGCTAAACCTGTAAACTCCAGGTCGCAATGGAAATACCGCGTGCAACGAATGGAAGACATACGGATTCCGAAGAAAACTATTAACATATAACCCAAAAGGAAATCGAAACATAGGACGCCCACAGTTAAGATGGAGGGATCAGCATAATCTTTTCATGGAAGGCATCTTGAACCGTTGCACATCTTAATATATAAATAAGTAATAGAAGTCCATCACGACTGAGCGGTCAGAGTTTGAATCCCGGTAGGGGCAAAAATTATCACTTCTACATGTCGTCCGGACCTGTTCTGGGGGTCCACCCAGCCTCTGGTTCAAGTGGTATCGGAGGCTCTTTCCCTAGGGGTAGAATGGACGGGTCGTGAAGCTGGCAACTTAGCTCAAACCGAGGTCAAGAAAACATGGATTTCTACATCCGTTCCCCCATGTGTCTGGCATAGTGCTTAATCAGTAAACACAAGAACAGCTGTACCTTCGCATGACTCTTGTAGCATCCTGAAGATGTCGACTGCAGTGTAAGCCGGAACATTGCAATACCTTTAACACACGGCGCAGCTAAGTCCCAAAAGCCGACGTTACACTTTCGTCAAAGGCAGCGAGAACTTTTTGATCACGCGGTACCCATAGAATTTTTGTAAGGATGTCACTTTTTTCATAGAATGTACATCCAACTGACTGACTCCATGGACCTGGACCTTCCTTGAGAAGCCGCCAGTTGCTCAGCCACTCGTAAACTTTCCCAATTACCTGTGGAATCCACAGGTTCATTACAGTGTTCATAAGAGTCCTCCATTAGTCTATCCTGAGCCAGGTCAATCCTGTCTATACCTCCCCATCCTTTAAGATCCATTCTAATACTGTCGTCCCACCTACGTCTAGATCTTCCTGGTGGTTGCTTTCCTTCTGGCTTTCTCGACAAAATCCTATATGCATTCCGCCTGTCCCCACATGCATGTCAGATGCCCTGTCCAACTCATCCTGCTTGAATGTGCAATAGAAAGGATGCCGGTTGCTGCTCTAATCCCCGCCCCCTCGTTTCGTGACACTTGAACATATATAATTTATACACACGAATTCACCCACCTTTGACCCTGAAGATAGAGACATCATGTACCTCAGAAACGTTAACATTTATGTTCACGCGGTTTAACAATCCAAGAATGGAATTATGATCAGAAATAGGCGTCCTCATTCCCGTCTTGGTGGAAGTGGGGTGCTTGAATGGTGGTAACTGCATGAAACCTTTGTAACGCAACGGGCACAGCTCTCAAAATGAAGCCCTAGTGTTCGTACATAAAAGGTTGGAAGGAAGACAAAAGATCTTGAAAGAAAGGGAGAATGTGTTTGAGCAAAAAACGGATTCCGTTTTCAAAGTGCTGTGCTCTTTTAGGTTATTAGGTGTTTGACAAAACCTCGAAACTGAGTAATTTCTGAGCGGAGGTTATCCATTAGACCGTACTTAGGAATGTAGAAAATTTTAAACTGCCTTTTTCAGTGCCATTGTTTTGTGCAAATTTCTTTGTGTGCTTCTTAGAAAGGCATTCCTTTACAAACGGAACTCAGAGCAGCAGCTTTCTGTGGACGGCACTTGCAGACGTGTATTTAGCTTGAAATGTGTCATTGGCTACTGGTGTAGAACAGGTGTATGGATAAATACCTTAATAAGCAAGACAGTCATGTTGGAAAATAGTACAGATACGTGCCGTGGTGCTGTGTGATAGCTTCTCACAAAATATTGTATTACCTTTTTGGTCCTCCCACACTTACATGAAGGGAGGACAGGCCCTGCCAGTCATAGGAGGTGACAAAAAGGGAACCCAGTGCCTGGGGGTACAGCCTGGCCACCCTGTTCCTGTGGGATATGAATATGGGGACCTGGCCCTTGGGGGGAGTCTCAAATCTGAGACAGTAAAATGTGGTCATGAGTCCTGCAGGACTCTGACCTGAGAATGACTGTGCTGGTGAGGACCCATCCTCTCGTCAGAGAGGATGTTGCATGAGGACTATAACCGAAAGTCTTCAGTTGAAAAATGAAATTACTGGTCTTGAGTCTGAAAGGGCTTGTCGCCAAGACAGACTGATTGGCGGTAAACCGGCGGTCATAAAGTAACTCTGACTCTGACTGGGGCTGCAGATGAGCCGGTGGGGGGATGGTGATTCTGACTAAGAAAACATAGACAGGAATTTATTCCTGGATGATGTGATGTAAAGAACATGGGAGGCAGTGGTTTTCACTCATTTTAAGTTTCTGTTTCAAAAATTTGCCTGGATTTGCTAAGTAAAGCCAAGCACAGTGATAAACTTGTATTCAATAGGCATTTTGCACATTTCTAGGATAATACCATGATTACATCATGACTTCTTCCTTCCTAATGTTTTATAATTCATTATTCATCTCTTGTCCTGCTGTTTGTCCCCATATATTCCGAGACACTTAGAGCACCAGAAAGTAAACCATTAGAAAGTCTCCGATTAGTTGCGCTCGCAACCAAGACTGCAACTGAGTATGAAATGTGAACGGTGTGCAGATCATAATATAAGCCCATTTTTGTCTGTTTATAGGTGATTGCCTTCATCTGTGGTCTGATTGTGATCATTTTGATGATCATGGCCCTGGCCTCGACTGACTGGCTCATGGCTGCTGGCTGGAGACAGGGTCTCTTCATACACTGTATAGGAGATGATGCTCCGATGCCGTTGCCTTTCAATGTGCAAGATCCACCAGACTGCTATCAGGCAAGAGATGTGGGTAAGTTGTGCATGCGGGTGTTGCCCTGTTTCTGGTGCAGTTTTCTCTCTCAGAAGAGGTTACCCCAACATGATCTGATGAAGTAATTAATACACATATATGTCCATCAGCACAACTTGTACAAATTATTACTAATTATATACAAAAAGCAGTGCCTATGCACATGGATGGCCCATGGCTATTGGCCAGAAGATGATTTGGCCATCAGCTTCTAGTTACTCATGAATGCATTACTTTAACATCCCAAATAGTCAACATTAGCAATGGCATCAGTTATTGTGCTTATCATTTAGCACTCTGATGTGAACCCAGCAAGTGGCACACCTCATGGCTTTATGGTAAACTTGCAGAACACCAGTTTGCTCACAGTCATCTCCTTATTTATTATATCTCAATGTTGTGTGTGTGTGTGTTTGTGAGGGGGAGGATAATTTAGTTCATGTTTTGAGCTTGTTGATGTTCATCAGGCCATTATTGTTTATAGTGTAAATATCAGCCAATATGTTAGTGGGTATCTTATATGGGCTGAATGGCCAAGGAATTGGGGTTCTATTCTGGAAGGGGTGTAAGATTTTTTTCTACTTCACAGCATCCAGACTGGCACTGGAGCCCACCAAACTTCCTATACAGTGTGTACCAGGGACTCTTTCCCCACGTGTAAATTAGCAGAGGCGTGGAACTATAATTCCATCCCCCAAGCGTCTTCATGGCGTGGTACTTAATTAATTGGGCCCTGGGACAACCTTCCTGTATAAAATTTCAAATTTTTCTAAATTATTATGAAATCATTAAAATGTACTGTAAAATTGAGATATGATATTATAATCCGGGATATCGCAGTTGGTATAGCGATTGGCTACGAGCTGGACGACCAAGGGGTTGGAGTTTCGAGTCCCTGTGGGGTCAAGAATTTTCACTTCTTCATGTCGTCCAGATCGGCTCTGGGAGCCACCCAACCTCCTATCCAATGGATATCGGAGGCTTTTTCTCCGGCGGTTAAGCGGCCGGAGCGTGAAGCTGACCACTCACCTCCAATTAATGCCGAGACCAAGAAAATGTGATCTATAGACCCACTCCCCCATACACTTTCATGGCGTAGTGCCTAATTTGTTAAGCACAGGGACAACTTTTATATCATACCACACAAGTGGTATGACCAGTATGCGGTGACCAGTTGGTATATCAGGAATTAGTTCTGAGGCCTGTTTTCTTGTACCTCACACGTTATGCATTACTCTAATAATAATTATGTATTAACAGTCCACATTATATGGATTAATTGAAGAAACATAACATGGTACTCAAATACAGTATTTTATAATGATGAAACTTCACTTTTTTGCATTCGAATATCTTAGTGTTAATATTATTATTATTATTATTATTATTATTATTATTGGAGGGGTGGGTTTCCCCATGCACCGCGATCAGTGGTCTATTGTACGTCCCCTCTGTGATATTCTACCAGTCTCTATACCCTACCGATACTGGTGCGTACCATCAGTCCCGACTCAGCCAGCGAGTTCGGCCTCTACTGGCTCAGCGGTATCCCTCGATGCTTCCCCCATGTATCAGAGGCGTTAGATACTACTGTTGGGCGGAAAATTACCTTGAATTTGGCTCAGTGACCTCCTTTGGAGATATGAGGTTCTTTTACGTGCTGTAAAGCTACGACACGGGACCCACGGCTTAAAGTCCCCTCCCGGAGGACTTGTTCCTTGAATTTTTCTGCCCTTAAAAATTCCACGACCTCCGCCGGCTTTGAACCCACGTACCTTGAGTCATGAGGTGGGAACGTTACCCCTAGACTATGGAGGCCGCTTATATCTTAGTGTTACTTACACATATCTATTCATGTACTGTCATGTGAAATATTTAAGTCTGATCTCTTGAATTTTGGGGTTGCTGTGTTTATATGTTTGTGATGTTGTGCTGCTAATTAAATGCCAATTTAATCATCCATTAATCATAATTAAGGTTTTAAATTAGTTTTTTTTTGGGGGGGGGTAAATGCAGTAGTTAACGATTAACATTGGGTTGTGTTGAGATGGTGTAACTGAACACATTGCTGTCCATGTCTCATGCTGTTGTAGCGTACATGCTTGTGATCAGTTTGCCTAGTATTTACTGAAATTTTTGGTGCAAATTCTGCAAAGTTAAAAATCTCTCCATGAGCACTATAATAGTGGAGAATTAAAATCCTTTGACACATCCTGTGTGACTGAGGTTCTAGCTGAATTATTTAATAGTATCCACCCTGTTGTGTGTCAAACAAAGTATTTTTTTTACTGCTTGTGGGGTGGGACTAAGTCCCTTGTACTGCGGCCACTTCTGGCCTATTGTACCAGCCACAGATGATAGGTGAGGGTGATTGTGGAGCAATTGGTGGAATGAAGATTGGCATGGGAAACCGAAGTACTCAGAGAAAACCTGCCCCAGCGCCACTTTGTCCACCACAACTCCCACTTGGCCAGACCCCGGGATCAAACCCGGGCCGCCGCGGTGGGAAGCCAGCAACTAACCCCTTGAGTTATGGCGCGACCTCTCGTACACAAGTTACATAAAATGTATACAAAAGTATGCAGTCTACACAACAATATTCTGTATTTAAAACAAAGTAGACACAATCGTAAGAACATTTGTTTTTATTGACACTACATCTTTCGACCCTTTTACTGGGTCATCATTAGGCGTGCAATGATACCAGTCTCAGTTGTTGAATTACATCTAACAATTTGCATCTAATTCTTCATTAAGGATCCTTATTGTGAACATGAGTGTTTTTAATTGCATAAATTGAGTCTCAGTTAAAATTCTAAATACTCAGATAATGAAATTTAAGAATTATAGACTAAAGATTAAAACATAAAAATTAAAATTCTAGCTGAATTCAGATTTTGTTGACTGGGACTCCATTTCTTGAAGCTGGGTGACTGTCTTGAGGCTCCACAAAACAAAATACTACTCTTCATATGAAGCATACACCTGCCGCACAGCTGATCTGAGAAAGAGAATGCACAATAGATCATAGAGAGTTGCTTTGTGAGGGCCATGTAATGTACACACGTGTGATCTATTATAAACCCCCTTAATTCCAAATGATGATGGTTAATATTTAAAAACTATATATGTAATTCTTCTGCATAATGTTTTAAGTGGTATGAAACACCCCTGGCATCCAGAGATAATGCTCATAATTGCCAGCTTAAACACTACAAATCCCAGTGGTTACTATATATACCTCCTGCTTTAAAATGTTGCTACTTTGCGCTCTGCCCATGTAATATATTTATGTGTTTCACATGATTCTCACAATGAACAGCCACTGTTTCCCTAAACAGTATTAACCGGCTGGTCTTTGTAGCGGAGACATACTGTGTTTCCGCTGAGGTACAGAATTTTTGTATACTTTTTAGAAGAAATCCAGTCGTTAAAGTTCCTGTATATTGAGAATGACATTGAATCAAGAATAACTTTATTAATTTCGTTGCAGCCTACATCAGAGCAGCAGCTGCACTATGCATCATTACACTCCTGACGGATGTAGTGGCCACCCTGTTTACGGGTTTGGGTCTTCGTAGCAAGGACCACAGAACCAAGTACAAGTACTACCGCGTGGCTGTCTATATCATGGTGCTATCATGTATGTTCATGCTAGTTAGTGCATGTAAATAGTATTTTCACCTAGTAACATTTGAGGTTTTCACAGCGTTAACTATGAAGAATGCCGTCTTCTGGGATGTGGTACAGTGTAGATCTTGTGTGAACTGACGTTTCAGAGGAACATATCGTTTCAGTCTTCAGGGCAGAAAAACCGCGAACGAAGAAACAACGTGAGCTTCACACAAGATCTGCACAATGCCACATCCCAGAATAGGCATTATTCTTATTTTCACTTAATTGAGCCAATGGTCAAGAATCATTTCTCACATTGCAATTTGGAGGGACGGTCTGATCTACACGTTGAGCAAGTTGGCTTAAGCAGTAAAGCTTATCACTTGTTGTGTTCAAGAGGCACTCAGTTTGAATCTTACCTGGACACCAGTTGTACTGACTGAGGTTTTTCATGGGTTTCGTCAGTCTCACCAGCCAAATTCTGGGATAGTACCTTAAATTGGGCCACAGCTTCCTCATTCCTTATCATTTCCCATTCATTATTTACCATAATCCAATTATTTGATACTACGAGTATATAGTACAATTTACCGACAGTGATGTTAACTTACTTACCTACTCATACTACTGGAGCTGAGCCCTTCTTGAGGGGCTGCCAATTCTGCAGCTACTCAAGAATTTTCCATCATTTTGTGGAACCCAAAGGCTCAGTACCATGTTCACAAGAGCCCTCCACTGGTCCCTGGTCCCTATCCTGAGCCATATCAATCCGATCCATCCTATCCTATCTTTCTAAGATCCACTAGTGATGTTAACTAAAGAACAAAAAAAAAATTTAGTTACTAATACAGTGTAATCTTAGTAATCTGAGCTAATGGAAGCAGTGGAGTGTTGGGAGAGTTGAATCATTGGATTACTGGATTTCAAATAAAATATTGTAATTTTAGTAAAATTATTTATTCAGAATATATATATATGTGTGTGTGTGTGTGTTTATATTATGACCAACAAGCAGACTCTATGGATGTTCAGCTACATGCCGAGCTCGGGGCGTGTGGTAACCAAGTTACATCTTTCACACCCTACAGAGGCAGGTCCATTAACACATATCATATTTCACAAGAATTCATTTTTTCACCAAGGAAGTAAACTAAATGATATCAAATTTGTAATTTTTGGAGCCGCCATTTTCTTTCTCCCTTTTGATCCAAGCTTGTAATAATGTAGACCTGTTGCTGGGCAATGATGAGGAGATAATACAGTGTACAAGAACCGTTGCTGAAAATCTGATTCACCCCCACGGAGAGATTAACTACAACAGTGAGGAGTGGTGTTTTCTACGCAGCCCATGCTGAGGTGTTATAACCAGGACAGTTAGTTGAGAGTAGACAGTTGGAGCAATGAGTCAGTTGTGTGGGATATTCACCTGCCAGTAAGGACATAAGCAGATAGCAGTGTTAGGATCCTAAGCAGATAGCAGTGTTAGGATCCATCACCAGGAAACGGCTAGTGAAAACAAACTGAGAAGACTTAGTGTATGTTGTATGAAAATATGAGTACATGAATTAGTGAGAGCATTATAATTGCTTATATTTATAATCTGTAAGTCGTCAATAAATGCGATTACCAGTTAAACCCAATCTATAGTCACTCCATCACGTGACAATACATTGGCAATGAACTGTAATAATTTTATAATGATGTAACAGTCAACATCACTAAGTGATGATGATGATGATGCAACTTCAGATAAGTTTTGGACATAGTACACTGTGTATATGAATTATGTATGATGGAACAAACGTCTGCTGATTTGCTGAGAGAGAATGAGGGATGTGATATGACTTAACTATGGACTCTTCTTTCTTTCACAGTAATATCGATCCTTATTGCCTTGGTGATCTACCCTGTATGTTTTGCAGCAGAGTTGAATGAAGGTGAGTTGATATTGTGTGGAACGTATTTCATAATGAGGAGTTTCATAATTTGTACTCTGCACTAAATATTTATAAGATGTTAAAACCAAGGACAAGATGGGTGAGACTTATAATACAAACTAAAGCTATGAGAAATGTGTACAAAATTTGAGTCAAAGGACCTGAAAGGTAGAGAGACCTATGCATGTGTATGTAAGTGGATAACATTAAAACAAATCTTAACCTTTAAGAGCCGAGCGACTCCATATGATGTCATGAAAATAAAGTCAAGGGGACGAATGATGACATATGTCGTCGCGCAGTCCACGCGTGCGGCCGGCTTTTTAAAATTTAATTTTAAGTTATAAATTCTTTTTCTGCTTACATGATTTTTGGTCACCAGCTTTATAAGTTGTCTCTCTTCCCACCTGGGTCGTCTAACGGACCGTTGGCTTCGTGTGGAAATCTTGGAAACATCCAGAAATCCAGTGTCCGACATCGCACTTCACGCACTTTGTCCGGACGGTTCTTCGTTTTCCATGCGAAAAGCACACACGACACCTCAATTGCGAAGTAGAGGAAGTCGACCAGTGATGTGGTTTGGCCTCCTATAATCGAGATATCACCGATAAAACGGCAGGGGTTCGACCCCTGGGCCGTTGATGGCGAGGTGGACCCCTTCCAGCATGTTCCGCACAAGAGCGAGACAAAATTCTCTTTGTGACAACAGGATGTAACTGTTCAGATCCAGGAGACGGAAAAATAGTTTATTTGTCCATTTCCATGTTCGACGACAGATGCTATAACTGTTTGCCACAGTTTGCCCACAGCTCCACCTGAATAATTATTCACACTTCTCTTGCCATGCTGGTGTGCTGGTCCCCAGGTTGCCGACCAAGATGATGGTTCTTCATCGAAATCAACCGCCAGTGATGTGGTTTGAGCTCCTCTAATCAAGGTATCTCCAATGAAATGGCAGGGGTTCGACCCCTGGGCCGTTGAGGGCGAAGTGGACCCCTTCCAGCATGTTCCACACAAGAGCGAGACGAAATTCTCTGCGTGACAACAGGCTGTAACTGTTCAGATCCAGGAGATGGAAAAATAGTTTATTTGTCCATTTCCAGGTTCGACGACAGATGCTATAACTGTTTGCCACAGTTTGCCCACAGCTCCACCTGAATAATTATTCACACTCCTCTTGCCATGCTGGTGTGGTGGTCCCCAGGTTGCCGACGAAGATGATGGTTCTTCATCGACTTCAATTTCTGATTCACTTTCTTCCTCGCAACTCTCAGAGTCATCGGTACAAGCAGTCTGAATCGGTGTCATTTATAAGTTGATTCTCAATTTCAGCGTCTTCCACATACGAGGCCATGGTGGACAGCAAAACACAACACTAGCAACTCTCAGAGTCATCGGTACAAGCAGTCTGAATCGGTGTCATTTATAAGTTGATTCTCAATTTCAGCGTCTTCCACATACGAGGCCATGGTGGACAGCAAAACACAACACTAGCCTTGAACGTTCTGACACTGCTCGGCTATATTTCAAAACAGACTACTTCTTGTTTGGCTATACGAGATAAAACAGTCAGTGTTTCTGCGAACGAGTAGACATCGCCCACACTCATTGATACCATAAGTTTCCTACGAACTGGAGCATGATGAACGAAGCATAAACATCTGACTTTGTAGCAACACAAGCCATAGTTAGAGCATGATGTCACCAGCAGGCATTCAGACTGCAGAAATGTTTTGTGCAGGAACTGTATGCATTTTTGTGCACAGACGTTCGAAATTGAGGGGAAAAATTTTTCTTGGCATCAGTGTAAAAATTTTTAGAGATTTTAAAATCGGTAAATTACAATAACTGATTCTATATTCTTTCTAGATAAAAGCAGCGTTTATTTCGTTCGTTTATCACAAAAATTGTAGAAATCACAGCATTTTGAGTAACATGATTACAATTTTTATTACTCTACAGTGGCGGGCATTTAAATTAACTCCGTCCCGCTACCACTACCGGAATTTAAATGGCCGTCTCTTAAAGGTTAAAGTAGTAGAGTGAGGGGGTGTGGAGTGGAAATATTTGGCTTCAGGTGGGGACCAGAATCAGGCTCCTGTGAGCATGGCAATGAACCGTCAGGTTTCAGAGGGGCTGGAAATTTTATGGATAGCTGAACAAGTAACAAGTTCATGGAGTTACTTATAGTAATTACATATAGTGGTGTAATGTAACATGTGGCACACAGTATACTTTTCGTATAAATGTTTCTTATTATGCATGTTTTAATGAGTGAAAGGAATATATGCAGTACACAGAGTTTTACATTTATAAAAACCAGATTTGTTTTTGATGTTAGCAACAAACCAGACAGACTGGTCTAGCAGTAACACTGTAAGCGTGTATTGAGGAGGTGCTCAGTTTGAATCTTGGCTAGTATCCTGCCTACCCTGAGGATTTTGCAGTTCTTCTGAGTCCCTCCAGGCAACTGTAGGGATAGGCCATGACCACTTCCTTCAGAATCCTTTCCAAATTCATCAACATCGTACCGTCTGTGTGTAGCACATATATTGACAGTCGTTAAATAACCCAGAAGAAAAGACAGTAGCAACAGAAACACACTATTGGCCTTGACAGTAAAGTTCTCTATGTGTGTCCAAAATGGCGGTTCAGTCACTGATTAGTAAGATTGGTAGGTTCATTGGCATAACAGTCCCTGAATGACTCTTAGAGAAGCCATGTTATTTTCGAAATTAGACTGCTAGCTATCTCCCTGCTACCATGTGTCACTTGTAGCATTTTGGTGACAAGTGAAATTGTGTGCAGTGGTTGATTCTTGTGAAGTGCCTGATGGAAAAAGCATGTACATCTGTCGGTCTGTTGTCAGTAACATCAAGTCCTTTGAAACTTTCTCAAGAATACCTAATCTCAGCAAAACTTGAGAAATTCTGGGATAACATCTATGCTTATTCTAAGAAATTAAACTTGGTAGAATAACAACATCCACCAACTACTGCTCCTGTCTGGAAGAACTTTCCTTGGCAGAGGTGGACATTGCTGTACTGACTCACTGACTCAAGTGTACCTTCCACTTCTGCCATATTCTGATCCTATTCATGACTACTACCAACTCTTACTGTATGTAACATACATAATTACAGAATAGCAAGTGTTAGTTTTTTATACATGATATTTCTTAGCCTGCCTAAAAATTTGGGTTCTGGTTTCAAATCCCATTGAGGGCACAGCTGATTGTACCTTTGTGTGAATTTGGAGCTGTAAAAATGGTCTGGTCCCCAATGTAAATAATCCTATCATATTGCCACCTGACTGATTTGAAATCATTAATTTTTGTGTTAGTAATTCATGGTGTTAATGACATGCTTGTTTTGATGTGCCAGGAAACCGTACTGTGTGGGAGTTTGGCTGGGCATATGGTGTGGGCTGGGGTGCAGCCATCTTCCTGTTTGGAGGAGTTGTGTTACTTCTGTGTGACAAAGAATCAGAGGAAATATACTACAAGGAGCGCAAGATTGTTCATGACAGCGACTCGCGAGCCTAGTGCCCACCCCCCCTGCCCGATGTTGTGCTCTGAACTGCTGCTGCCACCACCTCGACCCACGTCATCACGTGACATCACATGAAGACTGTTGCATACTTGCTCACTCACTGCCCAACAGACACAAGTTTCGATTAGTTGAGTTTTGTGTCTTGGTTGTTATTAACATGCACAGTGCAGCTTGATGAAAGGGATGATGTCATAATTTTGTGTAGTTGGTCTCAGGATGAGGTTTGTTTCAAAAGTATAGTAACTACATATTGTCCTCAACCATACGATGACCTCTGATTCCATAAGTCCTCCTGCACAATGACAGTTTTATATGACAGGAATAACTTAAATCTTTTTAACTCTTTAATGCTGAGAGGCAAACCCTACATGATTCGACAGATTTTTCCTTGAACATGACTGATATGCTAGATGTTGGAACCACTTGCCTTTCAGCCTGTTATCATTTTAATCGGTCAGTATGTTTTTACAAATACTGCTACTTCTTGTCTTGATGAAAGCAACTTGGGTGTGACAAAGAAAGATGATTTTCTTAAATGTGCTCATTTTAGACCCAAAAGGACAATCACCACTAATAAACCAGAGCTTGGTGCGTACTGCAAGCTACAGGGGGCTGACAGGCTGACACCTGCAAGAAGTCCAGGGTTGCTGTCCCCATGCTGTTGTGCCAAGTAGTATCCTCACTTAGAGTAACCAGCCTTTTTGAGCATTCTCCCTCATTTGAAAATATTGCCATTCGGCATGCTGTTGTGTTTCAGCTGGCACTCTGGCGACATCTGAACCATATTGCCCACTGTCTAGCATCAGATCTTATTATTCAGATCTTTCAACCTTAAATATGCATGCTTTACAAATTGTAAACCTTGTGGCAATGACAGTTATATTAAGAATAAATAAATTCACATTGGAGTATCAGAAAAGTATTTGACCAAATTCATAAACCTATACAAGCCTAGCCACTGCCTGTAAAATGACCTTGAGGAGTAGTGCCCACTGACTAGATCTAGGGCAATCAGTAGGTCTGTTTGCAATATTTTCCATAGTCTTCAGTTTTTTAAACAACATTTCAGAAACTGCATCTATTTCTGTCATCAGGAGGAAGGGAGGAAAGCTTCCTCCTCAGTTGGACTCATTAGAAAGAGCTTGTCTTGATCACTCAATGTGTTGAATAGGAACATTTCCTCTGTCAAACCTAAAGACTTCAACTAATCCAGTTTCTGAAATGTTTTTGGAAAAAGAAAAAACTTGAGATGGTGGGACTGGGACCAAAGTAATAGTCATGTTTAGTAGAATACAACACCGTCAGAAGCATTCAGACTTAAGTGACAGACTTTTTGTCCATTGTAGAGAGGTGTGTTCTGTACATACACTAAAGTCTGTTTTATTCCTAATTATGTAAATGTGTGAACAAAATATATACCTGTGAGTGGTTGAAAGTGATATTCAGTGTCTGGTACATCCCATTTACCAATTTCATCTAAATTCCTATGTACATTTGTATACAGTCTGATGTTAGAAGTCAATAAACATTATTACTTATGCACATTGTAAAAACATACAGTCAAAATTTCTCTGCAGTGAAGGTTAGTGCCCACAATTGCATTATGTATAAGTGCCAAAAAAATAAACCTCTGCACAGTTTTGTCCATGATTGTAACAGTTCTCGTTCTAAATAAGAACTAAAAGTTTGTGACAATGGTATATGAATACAGTTATCATGTTTTTTGACATTATCCACCTTTTTTTTTCATTTAACACGACGTTTTGTAGACTGGATTCTATCTCCATCCTTAGGTAAAAACCTTCTCATTTGGGTCCAGTCAATAGAGCTAGTCCCTGTCTCCAGACACCAGAACCAACACAAGAAAGGGTACGTAAACCAAACACAAAATAAACTATCACTGATGGCTTATGTTGTAGTTGGTTTATATATTCTATCTTGTTATATTTCTTCTTACCCAATTAACTCAGTTGTGAAGTGTAACAGTAGAAGTGAAAGAACCAAGGTATTGAAGAAAGCAGTCTTCTGGGATTTGGCACCGTGTATATGTGGTGTTAACCGACTTTTCGGAGGAACGTATCGCCTCCGTCTTCAGGGTAGAAGGAAGTATGTAAGAAATCCGCAAGCAAAGAGACCGTGAGAACAGTAAAAGCAGTCAGCTTTCTTATATTTTTCCTTCTACCCTGAAGATGGAGGTGATACGTTCCTCTGAAATGTCGGTTAACACCACATATACACGGTGCCAAATCCCAGAAGACTGCTTTCTTCATAGTCACCGCCGTGAAAGCCTCAAATCTTACAACAAATGTATTGTTTCAAGTTGAGCAAGAAAGTCCGTCTCATTTTGGACTACATTCTGCAAGCTTTCTTGAGCCACTAATCGAAACTTGTGTTATTTGCCTCGAGTGAACAACGAATCAAACAACTGGGGGTCACGTGTGATGGGTGAGTGTGCTGTGCTGTGCTGTTGTGTGTGCTGTGATGTGGTTTCAATGAAGGAAAAGTTAACAGCTTTTGGAAATTTCAGGATTGATAGATGTTCATTTCTTATTTGTATCTTTTTGTTAAAAATGAAGGAACTAATAGGCGGCATGTACACACGAAGCTGCAGACTTCACTCAGAAGGAAAATATAAGAGTATGAATTTACAAGCTGATCTGTGCAATGGTTTGACAACCATCTTTATTTGTTTTGATTTGGGAAGATCATAAGATCCCTGAATAAAGTTTCTCTTGAGTGGCTGAAACAGAAATGTGACAAAGTTATGGTGATGGTTGTACAATTACAGCATGTCGTAACTGTACAGTAGGAATCCTGCAACCTTCAGCTAAGACTTGCAGCAGTATGGCTAAATAAAGTTGTCTTCCCAGTATTAGCCATGTAAGGGTTGAATAAAATTGTAACATTTTTGTAATTCCTGATTATGGAAGAAGGTACTTGAAGAATACTCCCTTCTGGGTTGTAATGCTGTGTAGTTTGGAGAAAGCCCAACTTTTTAGAGGAGCAGAACACCACCACTACGTGGTCGAAGTGTAAGCCAAATAAGGAAGAAGCAGGTGAAAAGCGTGCTGAAACATTGGGCACTCTCCAAACTGCAAGGTGTTACAACCCACAAGACTGTATGTACTGTTTGTAATCACCACATGATAACCTCAGATACAACAAGGAGCAGAAACTTCTAAGCATATATATTTTATTTAACTGTTACATGGCTTGTAGTGGAAAAGTGTTTCTGTTAAATTACTGTTACTGTATTCCATGTTCTTGTGCAGTCATTTTGTCAACTGGGCATCAGTGCTACAACCTATAATCATTTTACTACTAGAGCTTTCTTTCATGTTCTGTTGACATTCCTTTTGATCATTGTGTAATATAACAGACAATAGATTTTCATTTTTGCATACATATTATGCAAAAATGGGGCATATGGTAGCATAGTTTGTTGAGTGAGGCACTATGCTACAAGGTGGAAGGTCATGGGTTTGATTTGCAATGAGGTCACTGGTTTTTTCAGTTGACCTCATTCTTCCAGCTGCACTATGGCCCTGGGGTTGACTCAGCCTCTAACAGAAATGAGTACCAGAAATTTTCCAGGGGGTAAAGGGCAGCTTGCCAGCACATAATGGTGACAGCCTCACTGCCATCTGTGAGCCGGTTGTCTAGAAAATGTGGGAGCCTTGACATCTCACAACCCTAAGGGTCTCCACAGCCTGTTACAGAGATAGCTTTACCATTTTATTTCTAATAAATGCATGAATTGATTAATTCTTGGGGACACCTCATGTTTTTTATTAGTTTGGGATGTTAACTTATTTCATTTGTGTCCTAAATTTAGTGCTCAGTTGTACCTTATTATAGATACATAATAGTGTAGATTAGAGGATAGTAAGTGCCCATTGATTAGAAGACTGTAACAGTAAATTTAATTTGCCTCTCTGAATTCCTTTCTAAGGAACATGAAGGGAATGGATTCCTGCTGTATTGAAATGTAGAGGAAACATTAATATGTTAAGACTTGAGTGTGGTGCCCTAGGATGATGTGTGGAAATTGAAGTTCAACTACAGACAACTCTGAAACATTCTTCCTGAATAACTATGTATTCCAATGTTTCAATATGTTTAGTATTCAGAAAAATATATTTTCAATAACAGCCACAATTTCAACATACTCTTTATTTGCAGTGTTGTGTTAATGGTGTTCTGTTTCTAAGAAGGATGCAGAAACTGTTGATCCTGTACCATAATGTTTTTATACCACTTAGTGAATGTGTTTGGTTTTGAAGTTTCATGAGAAACTATAATAACATGTTTTACAATAAATAGTCATCTTCATAGATTGCAGGAAGTCAACCTGTCAACCATGTGACAGCTACTGGGCAGATCTCTTTTAGACTGAGATCATATCTCTCACATTGTTTTGAAAATATTAGACTTACTTCTGCAGTCAGCTTTGCCATCTGTTGGACATATTTCCTGCTGCCAATTTGATAATTTTATCAACAGGCACTGCTTATTTTTTGAATAAAGGAAAATTACAATTTGCATCTGCAACTTATGCTGCATACTGTTCTTCATTCCCAGGAATATAACGCTAGGAAGGACTAGCGTAGCTTATTAAATATGAATGAGTGGCTGTATCAGCAATATATTGCAAAATGCAGGCCACCCAGGTACATTTTATATCTGCTACAATTAAAGACATCTGGTTTTGAATCGGGCCGCTTTCATCTGTTCATCAGGTTAGTGATAGGTTTAATCTTACAAACTGCAACTCTGCAGAAGTTCCACACTAACAATTAAATTTACATTTTTTCTTAACACTTTTCTTTCCAATACAGTTGAACATGTTTGAGAAAAGGTTGTCATTCTTTGCTTCTGGACACTTGTTCATTTTGAAATTCCAGCATTAGTCATTTATAGCAGCACACACTATGAGACAGAAAAACTAAAACTGTTTACAGTATTTTGGAATATATGTGACTAAGAGAAGTTAGGCTAGCAAAGAGGGGCATCTAGTGAGCAGAGCATTGATTGAGGGAACAGGGCAGAGGTTACAACTTTTGTCTTCTTGGGGAGGAAACATAACCACATTACAGCCCAGTATGATAAAACAGAAATTAAAATCTGTGTTTGATCAGGTCATACCATTAGAAGCAGAAGCCTGTAAAATCTGTTCTTTATTCTAAACTCTGGTTGCACCATACTATGTAACTACAGTTATAGCTTATATATTAATCTATTATGTTTTTGACTGAACATATACCAAAACACCCACCAGAAAATTTGACTTTAAAACTGAAAATGAGACAGCTAGAGGTCCAGTTTGTTTGATGTGACTTGAATATGCCTGTCTGCTCCCACCAGAGTATGCCAAAGAGGCCAGATAGTGTTCCTTTTCGCTGTTATTGTGGGCACAGTTAAGTGTAGGTGTATCAGTCTCTCTGCATGTAAAGTGATTGCAGGTCAGAATCAGGAACTGATCAGTTTACAGTTGTCAATGCCCAAAGTCCACAACTGCTGCTACCTTTGATTACTTTATGTAACAGTGCTCCCAGTGTACTCTATAAGAGATGAAGGGATTATTTATTGATTAAACATGTAATTTGGTATCTCATTAAATGTGGATTTAACAGTTAATTTGTTTATGATAAAACCTTATCTAAATATTTTTATTTTTACTTGCTTAACTGTAACAGAGCAATTGTATTTGTGTGTGTGTATGAGAGTGTATGGATTGGTTGAGACAACTCGGGCAGGATAGGTGTGTGCTTTGTTGTTTATCAGACATTAAAGACAAAATACGTTATCAATTAATTGACGGGGAAACAAACGATACACATCTGCTTTACAGAGTCAAGATTAATGAAGTGTTTTACAGAGATATAATATGGCCAACAGAGAAACATTTTCATGAGTATGGAACCATATTCTATTATATAAAAAGAAAGAAATATTAATTGTAACAATAAGAGTAATAACTATTGTATGTATCTTGTGATTGTATAGTCATTGAACAGAGGAAGCAGATTATCAGTGCAGAGCTTTCAGCATGTAGAGAGACAGTGATTTTTGAATGAAGATAAAGCAGAAAGGTAAACTACAGATATTTTTACAGTGTTGTGTACACAGAACGTACTCATTTAAATATAGAAAGCATGACCAGAATTTTGTCTTTTAATTTATCGTATTGTCTGTTTCAAATACTATGTTCATAGAACTGTTTGTGACACATGATCTGCTTGCTGTGTTTAATGGACCATAACCATGTTTTTATATATATATATGTAATAGGTTTTTGAAAGTTACTAAGGAAACCTGTCTTCACAGAACTCTGCCACATACGAGAAGGTTCAAATGGTTACCATATCGTTACTAAATCTTAGCTTCCAATACATCATCATCCTTGACCCTTCTCTTGTGAAGAGGATTGAGACTTATTGAATTTAATGTGCTGAAGCATGGAAACCATTCATGCAATGATATGACATCAGGTTACATGCTACATAGAAGACAGTTGTTGTGACATTATTTCACTGTCTCAAGCCATCACACAGGAGGATCATAATACTTACTTCCAGATTCATCACACACACTTTGTCATGATTATTAAAATTAAAAAGTTCATTCAGGGAAAAAATATATTTCTGATTCACTGTTAATACAACATTCAGTATCAGTTAGCAAGTACAGGTATTCCTCGATTTATGTGCCAGTTATGTTCCAGAAGAAAATCACAGAAGGTGAAATCACATAAATCAAGTTGGGTAGGCCAAATTTTCTCTTTTCCCCTCACAGTCCTTGTCTGCCACCCATACAGTACTCTACTCCCTCTCATCCCCACCCCTCAACCAGCAACCATTGTCCACTGAAGTGAGTGCTTTAAGTCAGTTGAGTGCATTAAAGTGAAATTGCGTTTTTTAACTCACTTATAACGAGGAGGACCTGTATTAACTTCATTTCTGAAGCTGTATCCAGTTGCCCCATCTCCACAGATAGAGAATGCAGGCCTCCGGTTTGTAATGCCATGTAGTTCGAAGGAGGAACATATCACTTGCATCTTCAAGATTGATGATTAAGCCAA